AGCAGTAATATATAGACGATGTTTGTATTATTATAGGGATGTATAATCAGGTAGTTGTAAGGAAAGTCTGGTTAGAGGTTGATGCTTGTCGACAGTATGCATTATTATAGGGATGTATAATCAGTTAGTTGTAATGGCAACTTTCATGAAGTTTAAGTAAATACGACAGTAAAGAGTCCCGATTTGATTGGTTAGAGGGTGATGCTTGTCAACAGTATGTAGCAGTAATATATAGACGATGTTTGTGTTATTATAGGGATGTATAATCAGTTAGTTGTAATGGCAACTTTCATGAAGTTTAAGTAAATACGACAGTAAAGAGTCCCGATTTGATTGGTTAGAGGGTGATGCTTGTCAACAGTATGTAGCAGTAATATATAGACGTTGTTTGTGTTATTATAGGGATGTATAATCAGTTTGTTGTAAGGAAAGTCTGGTTAGAGGATGATGCTTGTCGACAGTATGTAGCAGTAATATATAGACGATGTTTGTATTATTATAGGGATGTATAATCAGGGGAGATAATATACTAGAAAGACATACTAAAACAAAATATTGATACTTTAAGGTGTATTCCAGATATCCGCCTTTGTTTATTGATGTACATGTACAACTGATAGGAGAGTGAAATCATGGGAGGTAATCGACTAGATTTTTTGTCAGTTTGTGTACACACTACATATATTAGCTGGAAAGTGTAATTGGTGAAGATAATCCAAAACCAGATAAATTATAGACTAGATACTATACTGTAAGGAAAATCTTTAATCATGGGAGGTAATCCACGACAGAGTACACTATAAACTACATCCGTGTATATGATTATGTAAGGAAATAGTTAATCAGGGGAGACCACCCACTGCCAAAATGTAATCAGGGGAGACCATCCACTGCCAAAATGTAAGATTTATGCTGTAAACATTAACAGACGCGCATGAATGAGTAATTAGGAGAGGCAATCTAGTACAATGTAGGTAGAAAAAAAGAGGCATTGCACGGGAATGGGGTTAAGGGTAGAGGTTAGGGCAGCTGACATACATGTATTACATGAAGGGCTTCTATCAGTTAAAATATAGACAAAGAAAATATGTATATAATACATTAATACAAAGTACAATGCAATACATATAAGCGTGGTCACTAGAATCAATTTCATGCCGCCGATATACTTGTTGATATTTGGAGAATGAAGCTGAACATGTGGAGTGATTATTTGATAATTATATTAGTTTCTTTACATTTATGCTATAAAGTTTGTTGATATACAAAGTTTGTGATGTATGAGATCAAAGTGGGTTAATAAGTACATATAAACTGATAAATTCAGACTAACGGTACCCTTCATCTTCCTATAAGTGTTAGAAAATTTATATTGGAGCTGTACTAGGAATATTGACTCGTATTGTTCAAGACCCTTGTTTTACTCTCCGGAATTGTTCGAGCTGCAGCACAGCCAATCGTGTTTTAAAATATAATTCCGGCTCGATATAGAATCGGTCTTTCCCGGAATTAACCGATCCTTTTGAGAATGACGGCCAGCCATTAGATTTCCTGACAATGAATGGATTGCTTTTGATAAAATCGCAAAACTTACGTTGGCATTTTTTCTGTTCCTTGTTATTTGCCTACACACGAGCTGGTCCGTACGCTGGGGTGAGATACCATGATATGTCTGTCACTTCGACAGCTGATGAAAGCTTATGGATTTGTGAATTAATATTCATAATGGGAAATGCGAAATATGATATTAACAGCATGGCACTAATATAACTAAAGGATAATCCTATTTTATAATGATGGAATGACAATTTATATAATAGGATCTGTCAGCTATTTTGGTTTCACTCAGATGTACGGCCAATGTGAAAATATAATCAAGCTGGTGATAGCATACAACATATTACAGACAAATGCTGTCAATATTCAACATATCTGAAAAATATGTATGTTGATGTTCTGAAAAGCGGTTACCCGAAAGGCCCCAGACTTATTCAATCCCGTTAGCCATAGGTTAAATTTTATGTGGTCTCCAACTAATACTTTTGACAGATCGCAACGCAGCTAGTTTTGCTTCTTGTAATTGCTAATCATAAACCAACAAAAACATTGTTTCCAATTGTTTGTCATTTTAAATTATATCTAAAGTTTTTTTTGACAATCAGGACCTTCTATGTATTGAACGTTTGTACATGTAGCAATTGGCCTTCGGAGTAATAGACCTTCTGAAGAATGAACCTGAGAGAATTGGACTTCCTGAGTTTTGAATCGTTAGAGTGTGTGCATTCGGAGTAACGGACCGTCGGATAATCGGGTGCTTGGAGTAATGAACTCTCAGTTAATGGATTCTAGGAGTTTTGGACCTTAACATCCAAGTTGCCCTACGGTTTATAAGCATGCTGCCTTGCATAGCTTTCTGGATTCTGATACAATTTTGATGACTGCCGTTGGGTATTTACCGCTCATTACTGGGTTTTGGGTTGATGGCTATGCTCGGTAATCAAGTTTGCGTGTTTACAATGTTCCCTATCTTACAGTAGATGTGCTCGTTCGCTTATGCCTGCGGCGATTATTCATTTTACAGCCAATTACACAAGCGGACGACCACTGGTTACATCTCAGCGTCCAGCTGTGTCTAATAATCTTTATCATATGCATATGTCTGCTTAAAAATCTATCATTATCATCAAGTCAAGAGCTCTTTTCAGCGCCACTCACAATATCTGAGTAACGGTAAATACCAGGACATGTAGACACGGAACAGTAGGTCAAAACTAGGGACTCTATATACTGTCCCTGGTAAAAACATATGAGTTAAAATGGAAATGGAAGCATGTTAAAGATAGGGATAAAAGTTTACCAGATGACTTACCGGCGATTTTATTTGAACGTATGAAGTCGGCTTGTTTTGTTCGCTCAGACGGAAAAACTATATGATGGACGTTATTTTTTGGGAACAATGAAACAAACCGGGTAAGATTTATAAAGGTGTTTCTGGAGAGTGGTCTCTTAAAACTAAAACATTAACAGTGATGGACTAGAGTAAGGTAGATGGCTCCGAACGAACAGTATAGCGATAGATATTGCCATCGCGTGGTTCCACGTGTCGAATTCACCATTCTCTAGATGTCAGATACAGTACCACAACACGGGGACGTACAGGAGTGAACAACGGACTTCCGGTTTGCGAGCATTTGTAAAACATCAATATTGCTCATTCGGATATCATGGAACATGTTTGTCATTATGTACATATTAACAATGAGATAATGCTATGGTCTACTCGTGATTCGTCTCCGAAGGCGCCCGAGCGAAGCTCTTTAATGGTAACACATGCGTGCGTATACAGAGTTTCTTCCCCTTTCTTCACGTTGCCTTTAATTTTTTTCGTCCGGAAGTAGATGTCCAGTGGGGAAACCGGTACATCCTTGAAGCAAAGACAGATGTGTTTCAACCCATACATTAACATCTTCATATAGTGAAAGCAATACCCATGTGTTATTACTTGTTTATTTAGATAAAAAAATACATTCTGAGTGAAAAAAGTCTATCACATAAAATGTGATACTAACAGGCATGAAACTTCGTTCAGAGATTATCATACCATGACGTCACCAACACGCCACGATCCATCGGCCTTCATCGGTCATTTCCAGAAGGATGGACTGTACCGTGTACATGGGAGATTCCCAGTAGCCTAATTATACAAATGGACTTCACAGAAAAAGGTTTTTGTCAACTCCGCTTGATTTCTGATATAGACGTCCATTGCGTACACGAGATAATACAGCTCGCAGTAAGATGTGTGAGTGAAGTTAGCCAATGTTATCACGAAAATGTCATCCAGGATTATTCGTTTATGATAGGGATTAAGGCTGCTTGTATTTTCTTCATAAGTGCTAGGAATGCTCGAGCATTCGTACGGTTTTTATTTATTCATGCATTCCTATCAAGTTAATGTGTGTTTATTTGGACTATTCTGAGTACGTTGTAAAATGATGTGACTATTTCCAGACATTTAGTATCATATTGGAATTTATAATGCGACTATGGGAACGTTTTTGCAGCTTCTTGTTTGAAAATGGCAATTAGAAACATGATAAAGTAACGAACGGTAAGGTTAGTTTTTGGTTCTGACAGAACAATATCTAAACAGTATTAAATGTTACAATTAGGACCATTCCCCACAGATGTTATCGTGTGTTTCGCTGATAACTTTAGATTTGTAAATACGGAATCATTACAGTAAATCTCTAGCCAATAGGTCCCTTTGGTGTCCGAGAGGTCAGCGATGGAGGTCAACTCTTCAATCATACAAGCCTAGCTTAAGTTTACTGCTAATGATGTGTTAGATTAATACAGACCCGAACTTTGGACACACGAACAAAGAAACTAGCAGCTTGTTTACAGTAGAGTGTTTAATCGGAGACTGTCCAAGTCGTGTCATATATCTCGCTGCACTGCCTGCTCTGGTGATGACCTTTCGTGACAAAAACATTAAACAACACACACACTATTAATGTTGAGTATAATATAATAGGTTTTTGGATTGCGGCAGTGCAATAAGATCTTAAGAACACTCCCGGGAAATAGTCAACATCCAAAAATAATGTTCGTGTACAGTAAATCTCCATGGATCACTCCTTGGAGACAACCGTTGTTTCTGAAATTACAGCAGCTAATTATATAATGATCAGTAGGGCGAGCCGTGTCGTGACCATACATAAGGACAATACGCTATGGTGCGGTCTGCTCCAGCGGCTGGTAATGCAGTGAACTAGACAAACTGGAAGCCCTTACTGTAGAGAAGTGATATATTATTTCTAATGGAACGCATCTTAATTGACTTAAGTGGTAGTGGATAACTGCATTACATATTCCAATCAAGACGAGGCCAGTTACAGTGACAGCAGCCGTAGGATACATTCCAGTCCATTGATTGGTTCTAATTCCTTATATATGACTGGAACACTGTAGTTTTGAATGAGTAAAGCATGTGCTCTTTGACGTATATGTTACTATTCTTAAAGGATATATCTCCGAAACGTGGCTACAGTTTATGTGGGGTGCAGCTATTCTGCCTTAAGTGCACTGCTAGCTGACGTAGACGAATGAAATATTCAATTGGGACTAGAAAAAAGGGATTAAGGATAGCCCGTGCTTTTACATTCCATAATACCATGAGTTATTCATACAACAAGTCCCTACTCACATGTTGCGAGCATATGTATGCTGATGGACTTTCCGTCCGGGTTCTTGTGACGTTTCTCGTCTTGAAAATTGAAATTAGATTCAGTGCGTGTTGTAATGAAGTGTTGAACTCTAACACCAAATGGTGATTTATGCAATATATTGATGGCTTGAGAGAACGACTTGATGTATGATATAATCTAATATGCTTGTAGGCGTAGTGCTATTCCTTTGAAGTTTATTTGTACCGAAAGCAACAGGGATAATACCATAACATTAACTCGGGGCAATTAGCAGACTGCCGATGGATTGGATGTGTAGCCAAACCCACCACGTGACCAGGTATAGTGCATTATATATATAGTGTAGATGAGCGGAGTAATCTGAGCTTATGCCAGCAATCTCAATTTTCTGAACAAAGACATATACAACAATGACAACGAAAACATTTTCAACGAATGCAACAAGTTTGCATCAGAACAGTACCGGAAGTGACGTCAAGTTGACTGTTGACGAATGGAATGACGCTGTGGCAGGGATTCTTGTGCCATTGACGGTGATTCTTGTATTATATCTGGTCGTGGGATGTTTTGGAAATCTTTCAGTGATCTACGTTTACTGGTGTCAGATTCGAACCCCCAACAATGAACGATTTTTCATTCCTATCTTGGCACTCGTAGACATGATTTCCTGTGCAGTTTGTGCAGGGTCAGGCGTGTATGCCAACATGCACCCACTCAAGTTCGAGAGTGATATTGGCTGTAAATTAGTAGCGTTCCTCGGCGTTCTGTTCGCAACTCTGTCAGCTGATTTACTTGTCATTATAGCAGTGGATAGATTTCTGAAGATTTGTTTCCCATTTGGAACGCAAATGACGCTTTACTGGAAGCGAGTGTCTCTGATGGCCATGTGTATCGTTAGCACCTTCATTGCGCTTCCTGCCCTGTTTGTGTATGGTTCAGTACCTGTAGTAAACCCGGTTTACAACCTTACGGGTTGGCGATGTGTGAATGTCGTACAAAATGGCCGTCGTCCTGTTTGGGAATTATTCTACAAAGCCTTGCTGTTTGATTATGTAATGTTACGCTTCATTGTTCTAACTATAATGTATGTGAGGATTGGGAAAGTGATTTGTAAACATTTCAAACGTCACGCAAACAGGGGTCAGTGCGCGCGTGCTTCGCAATGTGTTTCGTCAAGCTCAACACAGTTGAATAATGAAGTAAGTGCAGTGTATGGTAACAAAGGAAGTAGTTTTGGTTTTCTGGAGAAGTATTGCTGTAAGAAAAGGTCTCTTAACAGAGCTGCGTCAGAATTTGATTCTGTCCGGAAAGGACGTGATAGTGTACATGCCCATAGGACAGACAGGAAAGGATTGAGATTGACGTTTGTGTTCATGCTTATAACTGGTATCTATATTTTAACTTTTGGACCAAAAGTTGTACTTATGACGTTCGAAACTATGAATGAGCGGTTCTGGACGACAATGACTTCCGGGGAACTTGTCGGTTTCCGGTTTCTATATACATTATTTATCGTTAATAATGTCGTCAATCCATTTATCTATGGTTTCCTAGATGACTACTTCAGAAAAGAACTTGGTAAATTATGTGTGCTACCACATAACAGATAAAGATCATCATCATCATCATCATCATCATCATCATCATAATCATCATCTATTTCGTTGTCACCATCAACATCGCCTATTTCCTGATTAAGAGTCTACATCTTAGTTTTCCCATTAATGTCACAAAAAGAAATATTTTTAAGACAGGTTAGTAGTTTGCTTTTTAAACGATCGAATTGGATAGGTTAGTTGTTCAACTGGCCGGAGTAGACAGGTTAACAGGTTGTTGGAACTTATAAAACGATAATGACTTTTTGAAACTACAGAGGAATGACAAGAAATGTCGAAACTTAACGGGAATTATTCCGCCAAATGAGATCTAACGGGGAAAACAGTCAACACTAAAAACGTTGTATTCAAAATAAAGAGAGGATTAAGTAAACGAAGCGCTGATTTACAAGTTTTTTTCCCTAGAGGTACATATTTGTAGTAGATCAGTTTAATTATCTTAATGAGTGCATTGAACTACATATAAACAATGGTAAATTCAGAGACGCGCAAAAAAACATATTGCCGACTAAGGTTAAAAAAACACTTTTTGATGTATGAATTACAGAGATTAAACTATTTTTACATTGAAAGCGACAAGTCCGTTATTAGATTTAAAAGTAATTTGAGTGATGAATATTTTGGGATTTCGATTATAATTTACACGATGTATTGAAAAAGAAGTTACTTACTTTTCTGTAAGCGTCTTAATTGGTGTACCAGTGACTAATGAATGACATGACATCTGACAAACTTAAAAGATGCCAAATTGTGTGTATAGTTCTATAATTTATCATTAACAATAATGGATCAAGAGTAGAAAAAAGTCTAATAAAGTCTTGTGAGAGTGACTTATCAACAATAGCATATTGAGAAAAGCTGTACGTATGGGATAAATGAATACCTCTCCGTAACAAAAGGCATGGGAGAATTACATAACAGAAACAACATTACTTATATTGTTAACCAATGGCTATATGACTACTTAAAAAATGAAAATAAACGTGATTCATTTTTGAAAAACCTATTACATTAACATGTATGTAACTCTCGACATCAATGTCTATTCTTTTAATAAAAGGACGCTGCTAAAACATTGAAAAATGTTGTCCAATTTGTTTATATTGTGACATACAATTACATTTATTTAAGTAAAAAATGTGATATAACAGTATCAAATTCAAATCCATAAAGGATATGTAATGGTTTCCCATTAATTATAATGAATATTTCACGAGTTTTATACTAGTGCATGGCTCGAATGGAAAAATGGCATCTTAACATTCTGGTAAAATATACAATATCTAGATTATATTTAACGGGAAAATAACCATTAATCATTATAACTACTTTATACAAAACATGACGCCTTTATCTAATGACGCTGTGCTTGACAAGATTGTGCACCATTTTGTTAACACAGTATTATCGTTTTCTGTTCAGTTTTGCAGTTCGGTATCATTTACAAAACAATTGTATCAGTTGTGTATTTACCTGTTGTTAGTATCTCAGTATCAGTAGCGCAAGATTTACTACATATCAAAAAGCACATAATTCTACTCTCGCTTCACCTGCATATAAACAGATTTGTCGATTTTTAATGCAGTTACTAGAATGTTCTGTTCTGATTGGTTAATAGGCTACCAAGTAGATATATTCACACTGTGGTAGCTATAACTTTTGATATCCATGTAGTAAGATATCAACTTTATCAATTTGATAGAATCCATTATAACATGTGTAAATACCTGATTGTGAAATTGGCTGTTAAACTCAAGACCTACATGTCCACCTAAATATGGTGATCTCGGGCTGAAACGGAATGGACTATGGAAATTAACTTACTTTATGATAACTGCCAAACATTTTACTGGCAAACATTGAATAAACTGGGTGTACCACACACATTTGTTTATCTGACGTCTCATATTGCACGAGTAAATTCCACGTGTAGGTATACTTCACGGGGCTTCAGCCCGAGTAGAATATATATATATATATATATATATATATATACACACACACCTGTATATATCCCGCAATAAACGAGTGCAATCCGAGACTTTAGATGAACACGTCTATGTGATATTGTTTGATGACATACCTACAATTACATAGAGAATAATACATGCCTTTTTTCCATATCATACCCAGTATCAACCCGAGACTGCAATATAAGCCCAAGGGCCAAAGGCCCGAGGGCTGATATTTGTCGAGGGTTGATACTGGGTATGATATGGAAAAGGCGTGTTTTATTCTGTTTATTACATACTTACTAATAAAAACTACTATCTTATGATTTATTTTTATTTTTGAAATATTGAAAAACGATTTTTTTTCCAAAAAGGGTGTGATATGGGTTTTGCGGGCTGATACGGGTTTTGGGGTGTGATACGGCGGGGGCTGATATAGGGTTTGGGGGGTGATACGGCGAGGGCTGATATGGGGTAGAGCAATTGTGTCGTATCGCATATACAAAAAACCTGTATTTATTAGTAAGTATGTAATAAAATTGTTTTACATATTCGTATTGCTTTGTATACATATTATTACTCATTATTACCTCGATGTTAAATTTGCTTCCGAAAAACTTGAAGTAAAATACAACAATAGCCGACAAAACGACGTCGAGTTAGGAATAATGACGTAACGTTACCAAAACGTAAATTACGCTAAAATGTATGGATCCCTTACTTGTTTTGATTTATTGATTAATAAGAGAATAACAACCTTTGAGTATCAGCCAGTTGCGGCTACTGGGGTAATAATATAACATGTTGTATTATGACAGTGTGATATACGGAACCTTGCATTGCATTGCCCTAACATATACTTCATCACTCAGTAACATTAACTAGGTACTGTATATTGCTGTATTATATCAGGATTATAAGAATAAAGACTTTTAATATTTGAACTTGAACTTGAATGTAGATATATATTGATATCCAAAGTACGCCAAATGTCACTTTGTCACCGCACGAAACGTCCATTAACACAATCAATAAGTAATGTTATCATAGTAGGTTGGCTGTTGTGACCCGATTCCGGCCCGTGGCAAAATCTTTTATTGAGAATTCCGGGAAATATCTGCTGTACTTAAGCGTAATTTAATTTTACCCTCAAACAAAACTTCATTAACTGGTGGGCACTTTATAGCATCATTGGTATATATGTCAGATATACAGATGTCAAAATCAACTTATATTAAGTCGTACGTAATCGGAAATCTTCCCGAGTAAGTCACTTATTTTATAGACGAGAGATAAATTACTTCCCTGATACAGTTATGTAATATATTCGTCTCATATCAGAAATCTCGGTAGTCCACGCATGATGTTATCTTCAGGCTAATGTCAAGAGATCTGTTTGTGATAATAATTCGTCTATAAAACTTGTAATATGTACATGCAGATAAATAGTTACGGTTCTATATGCGTATAGTACCCAATACACACTTTCAGTGTATGTGTATAACACGCGTGCAGTTTCATGTGCATAGGACTCAAATACACACTAACAGTTTTGTTTGTGTATACATTTTAATTGTATTCAATTTTACGTGAACACAAAACATGATATATGTCTCTGTGCTAAAGCGATTGCTTTTTTTAAATTAAAGTTCTTTTTAAAGCAGCACCCATCGAATTTTTGCAAATACGTTGATAACATCATTATTGTAGTCCAAAGTCGGGGCTTCGATCATCTGGTCATATCACATGCTTATAGCCCCTTCAGGCATATACCGCCCATTGCAGTCAGAATCAAAAATCAAATCAAATTGCAGAAAATGTTGGCGAAATAACAAGTTTAATCAATTTTAAGAGGAAGTATGTAGCTTACCTGCGGTTTCTCAGTGGGTTTACCAATTTGCTAGATGTTTATTTGCAGTTGGTCGTGATAAGCAGCCAAAACCAGGAGAATAAATACAATTTGTCGGTACATGTAGGATTATCGTTATTCCGATCATGCTGCCGTAGGAATGCAATTTGTCATTACACTAAAAAATAACCAATTTCATAAGTTTAAAATTTACATTATGAGTGACAGTTTTGGCACTGCATCGTTCGTACAGACTTAATTTAATTATAATAAAGAATTACCCTGATATACTAGGGATTAAAATGAATCCATTCAACATTTATGAACGGATTCAACACAGTGTCATTCTAATATCGTCTATTATATGCGGTAGCTACACCTATAATATGTTTTCATATCAACCTTTTGAAGAAGTATTTAAGCTGTAAAAACGAAATGGCAGCTTTCTACATGACGATGATGAGGCCTATCTGTGCTGCTGTCACTAAATCACGTCTATAAGGCAATTTTTTTTATAACATTTTCAAATGTTTTCATTAAATCACACTTATAGAGCAATGTAAATGCTGAAATTGTCGCTGACTCACTTATACATATAAAAAAAGTCATGATTACACTATTGCTTAAACTCACCGGAGCACATTTATCACAATGTTTACTCTATTGCTAAAACTGTCACATAATTACACATACAGGGTAATGGTTTTGAACAATGCTACATGTAGTAATGCCATTGGACCACTCCTGCCTAGCAATGCTTATGACAATTACTAATATTGTCACTCAATCACTACTACATAGCAATGTTAACAAGATGTTAACATTTTAATCTCGATTTATAGGCTGTACAGTAAACACTCCTACATGGCAATGGTAATGTTTCCTGCTTCTACTGTCACTAATTTGTTCCTACTAATCAATGCTAATGATAATTCCTAAAGCTGTCATCGAATCACATTTACAGGGCAAAACTAAAATTATTGCTAAAACTGTCACAGAATCACTCATACTAGCGACGCTATTGCCAAGGTTGTCACTAAAACTCTAATAACGCAGTGTAACTACATGTTAGATCGAAATGAATCAAACTAAACACAGTTATTAAAGAGTATACTTAGTGTGTATCTAAATTTCCTTTGGCGAGTAATCATTGTATATTGAGCAACGTTCGATAAAACTTACCATAATCGCAGACTTCTAAACTCTGATCGATCACCTGTTTATCGTCATCTATCTACTGTTTTTAAGTATATTCCGGTAATTTGGACCTGATGACGAGAAACACATTTGTATCTCACTGAGATTTTATTTTCCTTCGTCATCTGGTTGTTTCATGATTATGACATTAAAAGGGGTATCAAAGGGACCACTGGAGATTACTAGGATGTTTACAAATATCTACATATTGGAGCACATGTTGGGTGAACCGACAACACTACAATCGTCCGCATCGCTGTAGCGTCACTTCTATGGGTTGTTGGTACACGGCACGAAGTCAAGTGAGTAAATATTTCCTGATTTCCCTCTAAAACTCTCTCAAGCGCTGTCACGAGCTTTAGCCAGAATTGAACTACAGTCATCGACTAATGTCGATAACAGTGCACGTAGATAGTTAACAACAGACCAGCAACTATGGTTAATTTCAAAGGTTTTCATTTCTTGAACATTTATTATATATGTAACGTTTCGATTTGGTAGTGATTATACATGCAGTATCAATCCTATGGGCCTGCGGGCAGTGTTTGAGCAAACTTTGTCGACTGAGAAATCTAATTGCGAACGATTTAACCCCCTTATACAACGTGCCTACATGTATAAGACTCTCATATGTTGTGAGTAGACTTGAGCTATTGAAATGAACCACCTGTCTCTATTAATGATAATGGGGTTGTTCTTAAAGGGATTTGTAAATGATTTAATGAAAATAACAATTAGAAAATAATCAATATCTGTATTTATGGATTAGGGACGGTTCAATGTCGGAGTTAAAGAGGCACGATTTAGTATCAACACATGCTTTTGCCGTAGACAAATAATCATACACACATCTGTGCACTAGATTCTAAGATGGCACGAATGCATTGCGTGTGTGGATAGTATCGCGAGCTTTAGCTAGAAGGAATTATTTGTCCATTCACGTTATGAACCAGAAGAATCTGAAACGTCATATACACATATGTGAATGGCTGCTTTTATTACAAACCTACAACTGTTCTTAATATACATATTATGTTTTCTACAAAACAATTTATCACCTTGCCTGGTTTTGAACGTCAATTTGCCTCTTGAAAACCTGAACCGAACAAGAATGACGGGAAAAGGACATCGAGTACGGTGTAATGACGTTAACATGTTAAATGGCGTTTCTACTATTTATAACCCATTGTTGTTTAAATCTGTCGATTGATCAGTGTGTACAGTGTATCAACCAATGAGTTCCAGCCAGTAGGGAATCCTGGCTACTGAAGAAGTGAATCTAGGGATCTTGTCTCCCATGACATGAAAACTGTGTCACTACGGTGTAATCATCACTTGGTGTGTAATAAAGCCACATATGTACATAGATATCTGTTAATCTCCCTCGCTTTCGGTTGGGGAAATATGTTATATCATACAACTACCCTGAGACCGATTTAACAAATAATTTCGTAACTTACATATTTTTATTTTATTAGGCATTTTATAATGCCGAGTAGTCAATTTAACAATATTCAAAATACATCACATACAGTTGTAGATACAATATATTTATTACATTATGCAGAATGAAAAAAATGTATCTTAATATTCGTTCTTTTATAAAGAGATATCATTTGCGATTTCAAAATATTCCCACCTTTGCTTTGCTGTCTCATGAATATCATATCTATACCAGTACTTCTTTAGTTACCTTCATTCCTGGTTATGAACTAAATTTTGCACAAGGGTATCATATGATTGTCTGAAGTATTCATATAATGGACAATTTAATGAAAAGATATATTCACCTCCCAAGAATCTTGACTTGAGCTAATATTTGTTGAAGAAAAATAATTCCATCCCTGGCATTTTATGATTCAGGACTAGATACGGAACACTTTCGGAGGCTACGGTCGGATATTAAAAACCTATTAATTGTTTCGATTTGCCAC